AAGTATAATCTTGTAATCTGAATTGCTCATTATATAAATCCATCGTATGATTATGATAAAAATAATCTGTTATATGATTATGGTAAGGAGATATTTATCTGATAAAAATAATCAGTTATATGCTTATGGTAAGGAGATATTTATCTGATAAAAATAATCAGTTATATGATTATGGTAAGGAGATATTTATCTGATAAAAATATCAGTTATATGATTATGGTAAGGAGATATTTATCTGATAAAAATATCAGTTATATGATTATGGTAAGGACATATTTATCTGATAAAAATATCTGTTATATGATTATGGTAAGGTGATATCTATCGTAATATATCTATCGTGATCAATTTATGCCATGAAAAGAAACTGATATATGTGTATGTTTATCATTACAATTGCATTTGCATTTTAAAATCTATTTTAAATTAATGTAAATTGCATTACTTTAACATCCTCAATGGATCGTTTGAATCGCAAATCTTTTGGACCCATTGAATTTACTGCAAAAACAGCATGCACTTGATGTTTCCAATTCTCTGAAAGTGTACATTGAATTAGTTAATCAAATTATAATTATCGAATAATTAATGGATCCTTTCAAATATTCAATTACAGCGAAAAAAAAACTGGATAGAATGATTTTTTATGGAAATGTTTCAGAAAAAAAAGAAAAGACGCTTTTTTCTTGCTTTTTAATTAATTAATTAATTTTAAATATACTATAATATCAAAAGAATTACTGTAACATTTTCTCATTCGACTAATTTTTAGCTGTAACTTATTAGGAGTAGTATGATCATATAAATAGACGAGAATTTATTGGAAAATATTAGACTTAGTTGAAAAATTTTGTAGTATTATCAACCAACCTTGTGAAGCATTAGCTTTTTTAAGAATAAATTTTTGATTCTTTGGAGGTAATTCGAATGCTAATATAATACCAGTAACAATAATTAATGCAAATAATATGCTAACAGCAACTGATATGGTGACAATATGCTTGATACGCCTTTTTTGTTTCAACTTCACAAAACCGTTGTTTGTTCCGGTAGTTGATAAAAGTATGACAAATGGCACTACCATCGAGAAATAATTTTTTTTTTTAGCACTTCATGTACATCTGAAAAATTTTAATTTAGCATTTACATAAATATAATTGAAATAATTTGAATAAATACATCATTATTACTTTTATTTGTTCATAACTTTTTAAATTTAAATTTAAAAAAGAAATTAATGATTTAGTAAAAAGAATACTTTGTACAGTGATAACTTCAAATATTCTTCAAATAATAAGTAAAAATTTCTGGAAACTATTATAAAATGATCGAATAATGATGAAATTTCAAAAAAAAAAAATTTTTATCAAATTATAAACTTGCTATAATAATCACTCGTAATTATTTTATTCTCTTGGAAAAAAAAAATCACTTTGAAGAGCTTTTTAAGAGCATTTTGCTAATTTGATAATATGATAATTTGCAAGAATTGGAATATTCGTTTACTTGATAAAACAATTATCGAAACCAAAAGCTTAAACTTACTAAATTATAATTAATTAATGAAAATAAAATTAAAATTTGATAGAAATACTTTTGTAAATTCATTTGAAGTATTATTTTTTGATGAAAGGTAATACTTCCAGTAGTAGTAGAACTGGCAATATTTTATCTACAGTTTTTTTTTTTTTTTTTTTTTATACATTGTAAAAGATTAATGCCAATTTGTTTCAATGATCATTTACAGTATGCAAGTTACCAAAATATTATAAAAATTAAGAAAAAAAGAAACGATATTTTAATCTTTTATAGAAAATGACATTTTCATTTTCAAATGTATTACAAGAATTTGAAAATATCGCAACATTTTTTTTTTTTTTTTTTCTTTTCCTTACTAATGAAAAGATTTTTGCATAAAAATTATTTGCGTTAATTATATAATTTTTGAATATTTTCATTATTCATCGTACATTAATAATTACTGTATAATGAAATAATGAAATAAATTATAATAAAATTATCCAAAAATTTCATTGAAAATGCATAATTTTAACCCATTTTCTTTTTTGGTGACAATTGAAAAATGCATCGATGACGCATAAAACATTTGTAATTTTAATATTTTTTTATTAAAATTAAATAAAACGCTAAAATTGGGCATAATTTTTGATCATAATTTGATATGCATTGCTATTATTATTAATGCTTGATCACATTTATTTGTGCAAACAAACAAAAATTCGACAACGAATAATTTCTGATAATAAATTTTTCCTGCGAAAAAATAATGTTTAATTTTGATAAAGTGAAATTTTTTAAATTATTTTTTTATTTGAGGATATAGAAATTAGCAGAAGAAGATTGAAATTATCATAAAATTCATCTGACAGTGCATTAACAATAGTTTTCTCATCTTATGAATACATTTAAATGAATGAAGATATTTATGCTATCATATAAAAAAAAAAAAATTAATTTTTGAATTGAACCTGTTCGAATTGAACCTGTTCGAAATAACGAAATATGTGACATTAAGGTATATGTGACATTAAAATAAATGCTTTTTTCTTTGTTGATAATTAATTTTCATTGTGATAAAATGTTGTTGTTTGACATTTTTCTGGTTTTGAAAAGGTTGTGATTGTAGTAAAGCCTTTTTTATACGATATTCAAATATACTCAAATCACTGAAACAGTGATAAATTTTGAACTGAAAGCTTATTAATCATTTGCTATCTCAGCTTATGAGAAAATTTTTATCAAAATAACAAATATTTAACTGGGAAAAAAATTTTTTAACTGGAAATTACAATCGAGATTATTGAACTAAAATTAGAAATAAAATTTAAAGAGTAAGTACCAGAACTAGAATAATCAAAATTTACATTTGTTATAATTTATACAAATCAAAAAAGAAAAGAAAGGAATAGTTTTTCGAGAAATTTCCATTAAACTATTTGAATGAAAAAAGATATTATAAAAATGGAAAATTTGATAGTAAATAATTAAAATTTTGATAAGAGTTTAAAAGAAAATTAATGAAAAAAAGTTGAAAAAAAAAAGAGACAAACAATAAATGATCAATAGGAAAACAAAATTTTACTATTTTAATAGTTTGTTGTTGAATGAATGAATGTAAAAAGATAAAAAGAGAATGAATGATGTGACATAGATATAAATCTGAAAAAGTGAATGTTTTTCCTTCTTTTTTGTCTTTGTTTTTTTTTTAGCAGGAATTCAAAAACTATAAATATTTACTTTTATATGTATACAATAAACGATTAAAAAATAGTAACAACGACAATAATGACAACAATAACAGTTGCTACTACTACTGCTATAAAAACAAAAACAACGACAACAACAACGACAACAACAATAACAACGACAACAACAGTGATAACAACAGCAACAACAATAGCAACAACAATGACAACAACAACAACAACAACAATAACTATAACAACAACAACAAAAATAACAACAGCAACGACAATAACATTAATAACAACAACAGCAGCAACAACAACAGCAACAACAATAACAACAGCAACGACAATAACAACAGTAACAACAACAACAGCATCGACAATAACAACAATAATAACAACAGCAGCAGCAACAACAACAACAATAACAGCAACAATAGCAACAATGATCAACAATCAGCAGCAGTAACAGCGACAACAATTATTAGAACACCAATGGGAAGAAGAAATTTCGAGGATGAAATTTGATGAGTTATTGAAAATGAAATATCACCGATATGTTCCAATTAATTCAAATTTCATCATG